AAATAAAAGTCCACGTAATAGTAGAAAAGTGTCAATAACCCTTCATGATATATGACAAATAATTGTCAAAAAATTAACAATGATTCATATGTGTTCATATTTAAGTGATATTTGCATAAAATGTGGGTTTTGAAACATGTTCCAAGGTCAACAACATTGGCTTAGAGCAAGAACTATTCCGGGTGCCGCAGTAAAATTATTGCAGGGAATACTCAGTAGGGTCTGTATTCGGAAAGTATTCAGACCCCTTCACTTTTTCCACATTTTGTTACGTTACAGCCTTATTCTAAAATTGATTAAATTGTTTTTTTTTCTTCTCATGAATCTACACACAATACCCCATAATGACTATGCAAATGTAGAAAAAATAAAAAAACTGAAATATCATATTTACATAAGATTTCAGACCCTTTACTCAGTACTTTGTTGAAGAACCTTTGGCAGCGATCACAGCCTCAAGTCTTCTTGGGTATGACGCTACATGTTTAGCACACCTGTATTTGGGGAGTTTCTCCCATTCTTCTCTGCAGATCCTCTCAAGCTCTGTCAGGTTGGATGGGGAGTGTCGCTGCACAGCTATTTTCAGGTCTCTCCAGAGATGTTCGATCGGGTTCAAGTCCGGGCTCTGGCTGGGACATTCAAAGACTTGTCTCGAAGCCTCTCCTGCGTTGTCTTGGCTGTGTGCTTAGGGTCGTTGTCCTGTTAGAAGGTGAACCTTCGCCCCAGTCTGCGGTCCTGAGCGCTCTGGTGCAGGTTTCTCTGTACTTTGCTCAGTTCATCTTTCCCTTCATCTTGACTAGTATCCCCGTCCCTGCCGCTGAAAAACATCCCCACAGCATGATGCTGCCACCACCATGCTTCACACCAGGGATGGTACCAGGTTTCCTCCAGACGTGATGCTTGGCATTCAGGCCAAAGAGTTCAATCTTGGTTTCATCAGACCAGAGAATCTTGTTTCTCATGGTCTGAGAGTCCTTTAGGTGCCTTTTGGAAAACTCCAAGCGGGCTGTCATGTGCCTTTTACTGAGGAGTGGCTTCTGTCTGGCCACTCTACCATAAAGGCCTGATTGGTGGAGTGCTGCAGAGATGGTTGTCCTTCTGGAAGGTTCTTCCATCTCCACAGAGGAACTCTGGAGCTCTGTCAGAGTGACCATTGGGTTCTTGGTCACCTCCCTGACCAATGCCCTTCTCCCCCGATTGCTCAGTTTGGCCGGGTGGCCAGCTCTAGGAAGATTTTAGGTGGTTCCAGACTTCTTCCATTTAAGAATGATGGAGGACACTGTGTTCTTGGGGACCTTCAATGCTGCAGAAATTTTTTGGTACCCTTCCCCAGATCTGTGCCTCGACACAATCCTGTCTCGGAGCGCTACGGACAATTCCTACGACGTCATGGCTTGGTTTTTGCTCTGACACGCACTGTCAACTGTGGGACCTTATATGGACAGGTGTGTGCCTTTTCAAATCATGTCCAATCAATTGAATTTACCACAGGTGGACTCCAATCAAGTTGCAGAAACATCTCAAGCATGATCAATGGAAACAGGATGCACCTGAGCTCAATTTGGAGTCTCATAGCAAAGGGTCTGAATACTTATGTAAATAAGGTATTTCTGTTTTTTATTTTTTATAAAGGTGCAACAATTTCTAAAAACCTGTTTTCGCTTTGTCATTATCGGGTATTGTGTGTATATTGATGAGAAATATATATTTTTAATCCATTTTAGAATAAGGCTGTAAAGTAACAAAATGTGGAAAAAGTGAAGGGGTCTTTTTGCTGGCCTTTTACCCCACCCATTCCATTGGCGGCCAAATCACATCACGTGCTCTTACTGCACTACAGAAAACCCGCTAACTAAACAACAGTGCAGGGCAACTACATCAAAAATCATTTTTTCACAGACCTCAAAAGTCATCCCCAGATGTGGTTTAAGCATTGTTATGAACACAGAAAATCTAATTTTTCTATTAAAAAAGTGTGAAAAAACTGGGGGAAACCAGAAAAAACAGGAAAAACCAAACCAAGAAAACGGAATTTGGGAAAAAAAACAGAAGTAGGCCAAAAAATAAACCGATTTTAAAAGGCCCTACCAACGTTTTTTTGGGGGGGAAGTTGAGTTCAGGTCCAATATTGACTATGCACCCAAGAGGGAAAGAGGTTGGGCCATCCTATAAATATTTTGTGAAATATAATATATCAAATTTAGCAGACGCTTTTATCCAAAGCGACTTACAGTCATGCGTGAATATATTTTTACGTATGGGTGGTCCGGGAATCAAACCCAATATCCTGGCATTGCAATGCTCTACCAAGATGCATGACAGGGTTTAAAATGCTTTGTGAAGCCTCAATTTAATATGATTCATAAGGCCTTTATTAAGCAGTGGTAATGCCCCCCTTTATAATGCACAAGTTTGTCATATTTGACATAGTGGGTTATGTCACATTTGACATTGGTGGTTATGTCACACAGTTATGCCACATTTATGAACCCTTTATAAAGCATGACATACGGTTATAGATGGTTTGTAACACATTTATGTAGTGTTTATGATGGCTTTATGAAGGCTTTATGAAGCCTCTATAAGCTGCGTGTCATTTAAAGCGGGACCTCATACAGTATTTAACCCCTTTTTTTAGGCACTAAACTACTTCCATAAACATTTTTTACTGGTACCGGGCTGCCTTCGGGTGAGTCTTGTAAGGCTTGTGGGCATCCTAGATACGTACGTGCTCGTGAGAGTCTCATCTTTCCACAGAGTGGTCATATTCGTTTTTGGCCAAACCGTTCGGACACTGAAGACGTTTTCGTGAGAAGAGTGATTTTTGGGGGATGTCTCATGGTCTGACAAACACCGCTGTAGCTCGGTCAACTTTCAACTTTCACCGTCTGTCATTGAAGAACCAGATAAAATATTTTAGCAGACATGTCACATGTATATGGAAGAGCCATAGTATGTATACTTAGTTATTGTGTACATTACATATTTAGAACGTGTGAACATGTAGGCTGAGCAAACATTTAACAGAGAACATCCCAAAAACATAAAGCAAGTACTTTGGACTTTGAGACACTATGCCTTTTTAGGGCTTTTAAGCTCCAACTCCTCTCCTAATGTACCTAAAGTCTGTGGATTATGTCATTTTAAATATATTGGAGAAAGGCCGCCACTTAAATACTTTGGTCAGTTTGTAATACCTTGTGAATTAAATTAAAGTATAGTGGCTGGTGGGGCTCTACTTGGGGAGAGTGGGTCCACCTATAGACCGAAGTGAGATGAGTGAAGGCACCACACATACTTCAGGGAAGGGTTTGATGGCCTTCCAGCCCCTCCTCCCGATCCTTCGGATAGAGCCCATCTCCACTCTCACCAATAACCACCAATGGATCTTAGGTACACTAAAAAGGGTTCCAAAAGGGTTCTTCGGCTGTCCCCATAAGAGAACCTCTTTTGGTTCAAGGTAGAACCCTTTTGGGTTCCATGTAGAACCCGCTGTAGAAAGGGTTCTACCTGGAACCAAAATGGTTCTCCTATGGGGACAGCCGATGAACCCTTTAAGGTTCTAGATAGCACCTTTTTATAATGACAAACAAGGAATAACAATGACTTGACATCCTCTCCTAATTTGACCATAACTCCTCATTTTACAGCAGGTTTGCAAGTCACAAAAATAAATACAATTGCACTATAGTATAGATAAATCCTTCCTTCCCAAGCCAAGCTTGTCCCTCTCCACCTCCCCCTTCCAGTTTTCCTCCCTCTTTTTTAACAACAGATTGTAGCAGTTTATTGGTTTTGGTGTGCATTAAGAGTATTTTAGCGATCTTTTCCTGGATAGCATTTAAATGTTAATTTCTCCCGTTTGTGTCTTCAAGATGCCCTTTCCTTTGAAGGCGGTCTGTTGGATTCGTGTCGCCGCGCTGTTTTACAAACTGATTGGTTCGCTGTTGTACAAAATTAATCTCTCCCATTCTCCCAGTTGCTTGGTGATATGTTGATTTATCAAGTTTAGAGGCTTGATTTAAACTTTGTTGTCTGGTTTCTACATATAACCACAGTTTTGTCGGTACAAATCGGAGCTACTCACACCCCATGCGTCCTATCGGTACACACATGCACCTCCCTGCCAGGCATTTTTATACATGACCCTAAGCATGATGGGATGTTAATTGCTTAATTAACTCAGGAACCACATCTGCATTCAATACACTTTGTATCCCTCATTTACTCAAGTGTTTCCATTATTTAGTCAGTTACCTGTAGATGCTCAGTGTCCATTAAATTAAAACATATTTTTGCATTTAAACTACGTTTTAATATGCTTTCTTTCAGATATTTCCAAGGTTTTCAGTTCGATACTTAAAAAAAAAAAAAAAAAAACTTTTTTGATTTTCGGTAACGGAGGTACCACACACCCAATTCTAAAACCTGATTTACATTAATTAAATCCATGAACAAATAATATTTACACATTAAACCTTTTAAAGTACTGTCCAATCATTAACTAAAAATAATTTTTAATGTACATACTGGAGATTGCTGTGGAAAACAATTAAAACTTGCAACACAGTCATGCTTGATGTTGTACTAAGTAACACTATGTTTAAATTATCATAACATTTGATAGGATACAGTTACAAACATAATGAAGTGTACTCCAGAAACTACAAAACGCCCTTTCTCATTGTACTGTATATATACTGTAGCATGACCTGGCCCGACTATTAGAACAAACTGGAATTCCAAATAGTTAACAGATGTAGAAAGTCATCAATTAATGTTATATAACTCAACAGCAACACAAACTTTGTACTGGTTAAAGTAGTAGTAATTAGCTCATTTTCAATTCCTGTTGAAGAAGGTTTTGCTATGATGTGCCCTAATAAACATGACACTGGTGTGTGATCAGTCTAAATCTTCTACAGCTACATCTCTCTTCCCAGCGGTCCGAGGTCTCCTCCTCCTCCTCTTCTGGGTCAAAGTCTGAGTCACTGCAGCTGCTACTCTTCCCCTGCTCCCTCTCTCACCTGCTCTGTCCCAGAGTTTGGCACCTGACTCTCCAGTTCCTTCTCTCTCTCTCCCTGCACCTCAGAGCCGGGGCCATGATGGCGTTGGACGTGGTTCTTCAGACTGACGTGATTGAAGCACTTCTCACACTGCTGGCACTTGAAGGGCCGCTCCCATGTGTGGAGGTGCATGTGAAACTTGAGGTGGCTCTTCTGGTTGAAGGACTGTTGGCACACCTGGCACATGTGGGGCTTCTGCCTTGTGTGAATAAGCATGTGCCTCTCGAGATGGTTGTTAGAAAATTATTTGTAACAAGTGGCAGATGTTTCTATTCAGGTTGCTGTGGGTTCTTAGGTGGCTCACACACTACGAAATGTTTATGCCTTTCCACCGGTAAATTGACATCCTTTTGTATAGCTGCTAACCATTATCTGCATCTTTGCATATCATACGCTGGAAAGCAATGATAAAGAATATCTTCATCATCTTGTGTGTTACAACCCGGTATAGGACCCAACCCACCATCACTGTGTTACCAAGTCAGTTTGTCCTCTTTCTTTGGTAAACCTTATGTTAGTGAGCAGACTTTAGGTAGTCTTCCTAAGCACACGTGTTGCCTCCCGCATTAACAATGTTCTACAGATACTGCACAGATACAACAGAAATATATTCTAAGAAGGGATATAAATATCTCTGGATGCAAACATCCGTTTGGTATACACAGACGGAAATGGGCGCGCAGGATATCCAGCTGTCTTACGTCCCCACCTTATCCACTTGTTGCCCTGGTGTAAACTTCAATAAATATATTATTAGCAACAATAATACAATAATAATATAACAATAGTACATTTCAAAACAGGGACAATCCAGGATACACAATTAAAAATTAATTCAACTCCAGGGGGCAGATTCAGACTTAGTAGTACGCCTATCCTACACACACCTTTCCTACGCATTTCTCAGTATTTGGTTTTCATACTTACCTTATTCAGTAGTGTAAGGCGCTCTGCAGATGTGGCTACCTTGCGTCATAGGCGAAATTACCACAGAGGATGGAGGGGCATGTCCCCCCCAATATTCAGAACAGGTCAATTCGTACCCCCAATAATTTCTTTTTTGTGGGGTTGGGGGCACCCTCAGATAGCATATGAACACGTCATAAGCAATGGCAAAATGTGTAGAATTGCTGGAAATTAGCCTTAACGGTCGACTTTGGGCACAAAAAACGGTCCAACTCCTCCTCTTTCTATATTTTCAAACAGAAATGGGGTGTGCCTTTGGTGGTTCATCGACGTGTCATTCTGGTCATGCACTCCGCGACCGACGTAGCTATTTCGTTAGCTAAGCTAGCCACTTGTAGCTAGCCAGCAATTCCTCCAGTATGTGTTGACGTTATTTCACAGGATTTGTTTTTCGACAGAAGCTGTAGAGATCGGTAAGAAATGGCACATTTGTAGCCAAATATCTTATTCATCCATTTATAAAAAAAAAAATGCATTAAATGACCTGGTATGATGGCGCATTGATCAGTTATACAGTTTAAAGCTGTTATTTTTGCATTTTGGCCCAAAGTCGCCCTTTAAAGTAACTGTCCAGTGTTTCCAGATATCTATGAAATATGACCTATAAGTAATTACAATATGAGTGAAATAGTTTTACTTCCAAAAAATTGTAATTAATTATGTTAAAAAGCAGCTTTTCTGGTGAGGGTGAAACTGCTAAATGTTCTCTCATCCTCATAGCAAAATGTGAAGAATAGCATGACGAGCTATAAAACAGCATTCTTTTCTTTTTGTTCCAATACAAAATGTGTAGAATTGCAGGAAATTTGCTTTAAAGCTGCATGTGTAGAATAGCATTATAAAACTGTACATTTTTCCTTTGACCCATGGCAAAATGCGTTGAAATGCAGGAAGTTAACTGTTTTCCTGGGGGATTGGGGGCTTCCACTTATTCTTCCACGTATACTGTGTAAAAATAAATAAATAAACTCCATATACCCCTTAAAATACCCCTCAAGAGAGTCATAATAAGTAATGTGTAGAATTGCAGGAACAGCGTTAGGCATGCGTCAGGTTCAAACTGTTATGTCTTGGTCTGCGCTTCGCTCCATAACGATTTCATTAGCCTATACTTTATAAAATATATTATCAACTGTTACTAATGATCCTCGGCAACAACCACACGGCCGTGATGGTGTTTACAGAGGAAGCAAATGAAGGTAAACGAAACAATGTAATGACAGAGCGGCATGGACTAAGTAGAATATTATAGAATAGAATACAGTATATACATATGAGATGAGTAATGCAAGATATGTAAACATTATTAAAGTGACTAGTGTTCCATTTCTTAAAGTGGCCAGTGAATTCAATAGGCAGCAGCAGCCTCTAGTGTGCTAGTGATGGCTTTTTAACAGTCTGATGGCCTTGAGAGAGAAGCTGTTTTTCATTCTCTCGGTCCCAGCTTTGATGCACCTGTACTGACCTCGCCTTCTGGATGATAGCGGGGTGAACAGGCAGTGGCTCGGTGGTTGATGTCCTTGATTATCTTTTTGGCCTTCCTGTGACATCGGGTGCTGTAGGTGTTCTGGAGGGCGGGTAGTTTGCCCCTGGTAATGCGTTCGGCAGACCGCACCACCCTCTGAAGAGCCCTGCGTTTGCGGGCGGTGCAGTTGCCGTACCAGGCGGTGATACAGTCCGACAGGATGCTCTCAATTGTGCATCTGTAAAAGTTTGTGAGGGTTTTAGGTGCCAAGCCAAATTTCTTCAGCCTCCTGAGGTTGAAGAGGCTCTGTTGCGCCTTCTTCACCACACTGTCTGCGTGGGTGTACCATTTAAGTTTGTTAGTGATGTGTACGCCAAGGAACTTGAAGCTTTCCACCTTCTCCACTGCGGTCCCGTCGATGTGGATAGGGGGGGTGCATCCTCTGCTGTTTCCTGAAGTCCACGATCATCTCCTTTTTTTTTGTTGACGTTGACTGAGAGTTTACTTTCCTGGCACCACACTCCCAGAGCCCTCACCTCCTCCCTGTAGGCTGTCTCGTAATTGTTGGTAATCAAGCCTACTACTATTGTGTCGTCTGCAAACTTGATGATTGAGTTGGAGGCGTGCTTGGCCACGCAGTCATGGGTGAACAGGGAGTACAGGAGGGGGCTGAGCACGCACCCTTGTGGGGCCCCAGTGTTGAGGATCAGCGAAGTGGAGATGTTGTTTCCTACCTTCACCACCTGGGGGCGGCCCATCAGGAAGTCCAGGACCCAGTTGCATAGGGCGGGGTTCAGACCCAGGGCCTCGAGCTTATTGATGATCTTGGAGGGTACTATGGTATTGAATGCTGAACTATAGTCAATGAACAGCATTCTTACATAGGTATTCCTCTTGTCCAGATGGGATAGGGCAGTGTGCAGTGTGATGGCGATTGCATCGTCTATGGATCTATTGGGGCGGTAAGCAAATTGAAGTGGGTCTAGGGTGACAGGTAAGGTGATATGATACTTGACTAGTCTCTCAAAGCACTTCATGATGACAGAGGTGAGTGCTACGGGGCGATAGTCATTTTGTTCAGTTACCTTTGCTTTCTTGGGTACAGGAACAATTGTGGCCATCTTGAAGTATGTGGGGACAGCAGACTGGGATAGGGAGAGATTGAATATGTGTATTCGTCTAAATTATTTTCGCAAGCTACCCGGAACATATCCCAGTCCGCGTGATCAACAGCAATGGTCGAGGATTTTAGCAGCCCGAGTACAACAGTCGATATGTAACAGCATCAACGTAACAGTTTTGCTTCCGTCCCTCTCCTCGCCCCAACCTGGGCTTGAACCAGGGACCCTCGGCACCCATCGACAACAGTCACCCTCGAAGCACCCGTTACCCATCGCTCCACAAAAGCCACAGCCCTTGCAGAGCAAGGGGAACAACTACTTCGAGGGCTCAGAGTGAGTGACGTCACCGGTTGAAACGCTACTAGCGCGCACCGCTAACTAGCTAGCCATTTCACACCAGTTAAACTCGTACGTTAAAGGTGGTGGAATTATTAAGGAATTAAGTCAAGGTCAGAATACAGCATATCTGTAGACACACCACCACCACACCTTCATTTATTCTATCTCCACCAAAAACGAATAGCGGGTAAATAGCATGTTATTCTCATTCTGACCTTGAATTTAAGCATATACAGCACCAGTCAAAAGTTTGGACACACCTACTCATTCAAGGATTTTTCTTTATTTTTACTATTTTCTACATTGTAGAATAATAGTGAAGATATCAAAACGATGAAATAACACATATGGAATCATGTAGTAACCAAAAAAGTGTTAAACAAATCAAAATATATTTTATATTTGAGATTCTTCATAGTAGCCAGCTTTTGCCTTGATGACAGCTTTGCACACTCTTGGCAACCAGCTTCATGAGGAATGCTTTTCCAACAGTCTTGAAGGAGTTCCCACATATGCTGAGCACTTGTTGGCTGCTTTTCCCTTCACTCTGCGGTCCAACTCATCCCAAACCATCTCAATTGGGTTGAGGTCGATTGATTGTGGAGCCAGGTCATCTGATGCAGCACTCCATCACTCTCCTTCTTGGTCAAATAGCCCTTACACAGCCTGGAGGTGTGTTTTGGGTCATTGTCCTGTTGAAAAACAAATGACACTCCCACTAAGCGCATACAAGATGGGATGGCGTATCGCTGCAGAATGCTGTGGTAGCCATGCTGGTTAAGTGTGCCTTGAATTCTAAATAAATCACTGACAGTGTCACCAGCAAAGCACCCCCCCACCATCACACCTCCTCCTCCATGCTTCACGGTGGGAACAACACATGCGAAGTTCATCCGTTCACCTACTCTGCATCTCACCAAGACACGACGATTGGAACCAAAAATCTCACATTTTGACTCATCAGACCAAAGGACAGATTTCCACTGGTCTAATGTCCATTGCTCATGTTTCTTGGCCCAAGCAAGTCTCTTCTTATTATTGGTGTCCTTTAGTAGTGGTTTCTTCAATGAAGGCCTGATTCATGCAGTCTCCTCTGAACAGTTGATGTTGAGATGTGTCTGTTACCTGAACTCTGTGAAGCATTTATTTGGGCTGCAATTTCTGAGGCTGGTAACTCTACTGAACGTATCCTCTGCAGCAGAGGTAACTCTGAGTCTTCCTTTCCTGTGGCGGTCCTCATGAGAGCCAGTTTCATCATAGCACTAGATGATTTTTGCGACTGTACTTTACTAAGTTTTTGAAATGTTCCGGATTGACTGACCTTCACGTCTTAAAGTAATGATGGACTGTCGTTTCTCTTTGCTTATTTGAGCTGTTCTTGCCATAATATGGACTTGGTCTTTCACCAAATAGGGCTATCTTCTGTATACCACCCCTACCTTGTCACAACACAACTGATTGGCTCAAACACATTAAGAAATTCCACAAATTAACTTTTGACAAGGCACACCTGTTAATTGAAATACATTCCAGGTGAATACCTCATGAACCTGGTTGAGAGAATGCCAAGAGTGTGCAAAGCTGTCATCAAGGCAAAGGGTGGCTACTTTGAAGAATCTGAAATATATTTAGATTTTTTAAACACTTTTTTGGTTACTACGATTCCATGTGTTATTTCATAGTTTTGATGTCTTCACTATTATTCTACAATGTAGAAAATAAATAATAACCCTAGAATGAGTAGGGGTGTCCAAACTTTTGACTGGTAATGTATGTGCATAAAAAAGTTAACTACATTCTATTTACGCGGGCTTAACTTGGGTCGGAATTCCCACCTAAAATATATTAAGATGCCCTGGTGTGAACATTCCCACCGGACACAATGTGTGTGTATAGTAGTAGTCGTCCTCACAGATTACTTACTGTGTACTAACAACCAATTATATCTCACCAAAAGCGAGATTTCAGTTTGAACCAAAAAACAATTGAACACAAACTTCTGTCAAATTAGTGGAAACTTCTCAACCTTCCTTCCCACTGCCCGTTGTGAATGAATGTCATTGCAAGTGTAGTAAATTGAATCTAAAGTCCCTATTTCAGCTCTTTTAAATCTGGGAAAATTGATTAGAGCATTTAATGAAGGATCAAAGGTTTCATAATGGAAAATACAAAAGTCAGTCCAAATTGTTTTATTTTGTAAAGAGGGAGTGGAGTTGAGAAACATTGTGTTCTACTAAAGGTTAATATATTCAAATGTACATGCGGTTCAAGGGTAGCACGGTTGTTTGAACGCACACAAAAAAAACAACTAAATAAATCTTCATTCCAACATTCTTTTTTTCCTCAAATGACAATTGATAAAATATTCATATAATATCAAATAAAAAAATATGTTATAATCACAATATAAATCCTCAAGATGTCAGAAATGAAAACCATGACATGCAGAATGTATACTGAACAAAAATATAAATGCAAAACGTAAAGTGTTGGTCCCATGTTTCATGAGCTGAAATAAATGATCATAAGCACAAAAAGCTTATTTCTCTCAAATGCTGTGCACAAATTTGTTTACATCCCTGTTAGTGAGCATTTCTCCTTTGCCAAGATCATCTATCCACCTGACAGATGTGGCATATCAAGAAGCTGATTAAATAGTATGATCATTACACAGGTGCAACTTGTGCTGGGGACAATAAAAGGCCACTCTAAAATGTGCAGTTTTGTCACACAACACAATGCCACAAGATGTCTCAAGTTGAGGGAGCTTGTCATCGGCATGCTGACTGCAGGAATGTCCACCAGAGCTGTTGCCAGAGAATTTCTCTACCGAAAGCCACATCCAACGTTGCTTTACATCCAACAGTCCTCACAACCGCAGACCACGTGTATGGCGTCGTGTGGGCGAGCGGTTTGCTGATGTCAACGTTGTGAACAGAGTGCCCCATGGTGGTGGTGGGGTTATGGTAAGGGAAGGCATAAGCTACGGACAATGAACACAATTGCATTTTATCGATGGCAATTTGAATGAAATGAAATGATAAAGTAGGCTACACCAACTAAAGGGAACAGTAAATTGGCAGAACAAATATGTAAGGGATAATCAACGAGGGGCTATGCGTTCTATGGAAAATAATGAACGACGTGGAAGGTATGTTCCACGACGCACTAGCGTAATGGAACTAACCTTCCACCAAGTTGCATTATTTCCCAGAGATCGCATAGAGCCCCAAGTTGAATATACCTTTTATACCATGGCAATAATTTAACACATTTGCCTCTAGAAATGTGTTCAACATCCACTAAGGTAGCTAGCAACTTAACTAGATAGCAACAGTAGTTACCTTTGTAACCAAACAAACAGACTTGCTAGTTTAGCTAACCAAACCATCAGACCTTGCTTGCGATTATGAAAATTGAATTCAACAATGCCAATAATGTTTTCAATTCGACACTTTCAATGCAGCTCAAACATAGAACATGTAAGGATGAACTATAGCCATTGTGCTGATATACCGTGCGTTATAAGGAAATAATGCACGCTCTAGAATGCCCTTCAAGCCAATCAGAAATGGGTTTAACAATGCCATGGTATAAGTGTGGTTATTAGGCCTACTGACGGTCGATACTGATAGTGGCTAATATTTAACATGATAGAAATAGGAAACAGAGAAAGTAGGGGTAGCCTATAATTAAGACATTCGAGAGTGCCCATCCCTGCAAGTTAAAAGGCCGTACAATTTACATTTTGCATAATGACACAGCATTTCATAAACTTTACTGTGGGAAATTTGTATCTGCTTCAGTTTGCTGCCATATTCATGGTTTCCTCACGCGTAAAGGCGGTGGAATTATTAGGGGATTAAGTTCAAGGTCAGAGAGAAAAGTGCATAAAAAGGGAATTACGTTCCATTTACGCACGCTTAACTCGGGTCGGAATCAGCCCCCATGTGAGAGCTGAATAGATGGGGATGATGTAGAAACCAGTCAAACAACTGACCATAAGACAGGTCAGTATATGGTGACAGACAGGAGTTCCTCTGGAGCCTGGGGTGGTTGGTTGGGTCCCAGAGGTGTGGTGGTGGTCTGGTGAGTAAAAAAGTCCCAAGGTAGAAACTGCAGTCTTAAACATGTGCCATACCTTAAAATGTTGGAGAGGAAAACACCCTCACACTCATCAATATGATGAGCAGCCAAGTCCCTAACCAAAAAAGCTGTCTCGGCTGCAACAATAAGTATTTATTTTTGCAGCTGAGAGAACAAAATATAGAAAACACGAAAATGTAACAAAACGAAAAGAGAAAAATACAACTCCAGATGTTTCTATGTTGATTGAATGCAAAGAAAAAATTAACTGGAGCTAGACTTCTAGATACCCCAAAGTACTGGTCTGAAGGACCCATGTTGGTCAGGGTAGGGTGTTCGTTGGGATGCCTGCAGTAAAATGCCCAAACATCAGTAGCAGTATCCTAGCAGGCAATCCTTTAGGGGGACTAACGCTATGTGCTTCCAGCAGCTTGAGCCTCTCCTCCCTCTGAGTTAACTGTGGGTCAGAGCAACAACAAATGTTAATACCTGTATTACTATATGGTGGACAGGAAGACTAGTAGTACAGAAATAGTGATTGGAAAGATACATGAAGACATGCTACTAACTGCAGGGAGAAGACTACAACGATTAGATCAATGGGCACCGTTGGGAATAATTATTCACAATATACCACAGAGGCAGTTGAACCTTGAAGTCACACTAATAGTGCTGGAATGCCACAGACGCATACCAAAGCCACTCACACACATCAATCTCTGGTCTAAACCAGAGACTGATGCACTTGCGCACACACACACACACACAGTAATCCCACTAGAGATCTAGTTATTGACCAGACCTGCAGCTGCTGCATTGTTGACCTGATCTTCCTCATCGCTGTCCCCTTCAGAGTGGGGCAAGTCAGCCTCGGGGGCGCAGTCTGCAGCCGGGGCCTCCTGGGGCTCCTGGTCTGCCCGGCTCTTCAGGGCCAGGATACGATGGTGCAGCGCTGCAGCCAGCTGACCTGTGTCCTCCCTAGAACTAGCCTGGAGATCATGACAATAACAGTAGGGACGGAGAGAGGGAAGTCGTTAAAAACACCACAACAATAATAATAGGGATAAACAACACATCACAGACAACTGCTGCACTGTCCTAAAAACTAGCCTCAACTGAACCACAATGACAGGGACACAGAAGTCATCAGAAACACTGTTGTCTGATGAGGCGTTTATTTCAAGCACCTGTCTACTTCCTTATCCCTGTACTCCCTCTAGTGTCTCTACTGAGTACTACACCACATTTCAAACCAATTTATTTGAATAGGGCCAGGTACAAACACAGGGATATACTAATTTAGACAAAGATCGTAGCAAGCGGTTGCAAACAGTTACAAAACGTTTTGCAACAGAAACTGGTTACTCCAAACAGAAAATATTCTGTAACGAAATCAAGAGTCTATTGGAAAAATTCAGGTAGGTCCCTCCCCATTTCGTTCTGTTGGCTTCCCCCCAAGGTGTGACAGATGTGTATAGCTCTATAGTTTTTTTTCAACACCCATCCTCAGATAAAAGGTAAAAACTATACACAAAGCGTGTAATACGACTATAACATGAAGCAGGCTAAACGCTGGGCGATGGTGATGTCATACCGATATTAGGAAGACCTTGACCCCCTGGTCCTCTGTGTCCATGGCGGTGACACGGACGCTCTTCTCGCTGGCCTTGTCCACCTGCATTTGAGGCCACAGCTTGGTGTTCAGGATCAACCTAAGGCTGCCCTGGGTCCGCATCACTGTGGGAACACACAGAGGTATATGGGTCAAGGACGTTAGATAAAAATTGTAAACAGAAAAAAATAGGTACATTTGTGTACCCATTGCAAAAACGCTTTTGCACACATTCTACATGAAATCAGTTAGGCATACAGTGGGACTGGATCAAACTGTTTCTGACAGAGAAGGTAAAGGTCTATAACCACTGCTAAAAAAACTTGTTCAATACATTTTGGACCATTCAATCGACATAAACCTGTCAAGCCAGGTCTGTTCTTAGTTTGAGCTTGTGAGTTAACCTACACTGAACAAAAATATAAACACAACATGTAAAGTGTTGGTCCTATGTTTCATGAGCTGAAATAAAAGATACCTGAAACTTTCCATATGCACAAAAAGCTTATTTCTCTCAAATTTTGTGGACACATTTTTATTACATCCCTGTTAGTGAGCATTTATCCTATGCCAAGATAATCCATCTACCTGACATGTATGGAATTTCAAGAAGCTGATTAAACAGCATGATGCTCACTAACAGGTGCACATTTTGCTGGGGACAATAAAAGGCCACTCTAAAATGTGCAGTTTTGTCACATAACACAATGTCACAGATGTGTCGAGTTTTGAGGGAGCTAGCAATTGGCATGCTGAATGCAGGAATTTCCACCAGAGCTGTTATCAGAGAATGTTATGTTAATTTCTCTACCATAAGCCACCTCCAATGTTGTTTTAGGGAATTTATAACCTGCCTCACAACCGCAGACCACGTGTATGGTGTAGTGTGGGCGCGGTTTGCTGATGTCAACGTTGTAAACAAAGTGCCCCATGGTGGCGTTGGGGTTATTGTATGGGCAGGCATAAGCTACGAACGAACACCATTTTATCAATGGCAATTTAAATGCACAGAGATACCGTGACGAGATCCTGAGGCCCATTGCCGTGCCATTCATCCGCAGCCATCATCTCATGTTCCAGCATGATAATTTACAGCCCCATGTCGCAAGGATCTGTACACAATTCCTGGAAGCTGAAAATGTCCATAGCCTGCATACTCACCAGACGTCACCCATTGAGCATGTTTGGGATGCTCTGGATTGATGTTTACGACAGCTTATTCCAGTTCCCGCCAATATCCAGCAACTTCGCACAGCCATTGAAGAGGAGTGGGACAACATTCCACAGGCCACAATCAACAGCCATCAACTCTATGCGAAGGAGATGCTGACTGGTTTTCTGATCCATGCCCCTACCTTTTTTTAAGGTACATGTGACCAACAGATGCATATCTGTATTCCCAGTCATGTGAAATCCATTGATTAGAGCCTAATTTATTTATTTCAATTGACTGATTTCCTTATATGAACTGTAACTCAGCAAAATCTTTGAAATTGTTGAATGTTGCGTTTATATATTTTTTCAGTATATTAGTTACTGAGACAAACAATCAGTCAAAATGTGTACAGGTGAGTATACAGGCCAGTGTGTACCTACCTAGACGTGATTGTAGTGATCCGTCATCTGCGGATGCCATGTCATTAAGCCTGAGCAGCCCTCGACCCCGCTCTATCCACGACTGGGCTGTCTTGTCAAACACAAACAACTTGCACTGGACCTGAGGGGGGAGACACACACACACACACATTACTTATTGGGGGGGGGGATCAGTAGGATTGCTGATGTAGGATTAGTTTTAAATATTACTATTACATGGATCCCCCCCATCCAATAGTAATATTTAAAACTAATCCTACATCAGCAATCCTACTCTGAGACGCTAGGTGAATATGGGCCCTGATGTATTCGTATATCGTCAGCCACAGAGACCAGCCACCGACCTGCAAAACGTTACTTTCTGATTCTTCTCCAGTTTTGACGTCTACCTTCTCCAAGATGCACTTCTTGGCTGTGGCTTTGGTGTACGCTGCTGCAGACTCCTCCAGTGACTCTGTCACGTTGTTACCTGTGATTAAACACACACACACACACACACACGTAACAAGTTAATGACACTAGTTGTTAACTAGAAATATACACAGGGATCAGCACTGGGCTGTGGGTTGTGTGTGTTTACGTCTTACCCTTCCCTGGTATGTTATCCTTTGAAGAGGGTTCAGACACAGAAGGAGCTGGTAAGACTGTACAGTCCTCCACTGATGCCTCCCCTCCCTTGGGAGGGCTCTGAAAACACACAGTACACTGTCAGCCAACCATGCATTGTCTCTACAGTTGTCATGACTTGCCCTCATGGGTTGAGGATCAAACATGCCGGCAAAGCAAAGGTTTGAACACCCCTTTTCCTGGGGGCCAGTTTTATGACCGGTCGTAAATACCGTGTAGACTTTCTCTTCCTTGCCATGAAGTATTGGGAGAAAGGACCCCTTTGTTAACAAAAGGAAGTATTCCTGCGAAAACTCAAAAATCCAAAAGTGGATAATGAAACACTATTCCTACTTAAAAGAATGTGGGAAATGGTTGGAAGGGACTTAAAGAACAATCATGTCAAATGCATTACTATGTGATGTCATTAAAGACTGTGGAACAACATAACTGTATCTCTGGGGGGGTACACTTCCCAGTTATGAGGTTTGCATCTAATTGTTATGAGTCGCCTCTTCACTGTTGACGTTGAGACTGGTATTTTGCGGGTACTACGTTGAGACTGGTGTTTTGCGGGTACTATTTAATGAAGCTGCCAGTTAAGGACCTGTGAGGCGTCTGTTTCTCAAACTAGACACTAATGTACTTGTCCTCTTGCTCAGTTGTGCACCGGGGCCTCCCACTCCTCTTTCTATTCTGGTTAGAGCCAGTTTGCGCTGTTCTGTGAAGGGAGTAGTACACAGCGTTGTACGAGATCTTCAGTTTCTTGGCAATTTCTCGCATGGAATAGCCTTCATTTCTCAGAACAAGAATAGACTGACGAGTTTCAGAAGAAAGTTATTTGTTTCTGGCCATTTTGAGCCTGTAATCGAACCCACAATTGCTGATGCTCCAGATACTCAACTAGTCTCAAGAAGGCCAGTTTTATTGCTTCTTTAAAATCAGCACAAGTGTTCAGCTGTGCTAACATAATTGCAAAATAGTTTTCTAATGATCAATTAGCCTTTTAAAATGATAAACTTGGATTAGCAAACACAACGTGCCATTGGAACACAGGACTGACAGTTGCTGATAATGGGCCTCTGTACGCCTATGTAGATGTACCATAAAAAATCAGCCGTTTCCAGCTACAATAGCCATTTACAACATTAACAATGTCTACACTGTATTTCTGATCAATTTGATGTTATTTTAACGGACAAAAAAATTGCTTTTCTTTCGAAAACAAGGACATTTCTAAGTGACCCCAAACTTTTGAACGGTAGTGTATATTCGTTGACCGGGCCGGAGTTATTATCTACAGTTGAAGTCGGAAGTTTACATACACCTTAGCCAAAAACATTTAAACTCAGTTTTTCACAATTCCTGACATTTAATCCTAGTAACAATTCCCTGTCTTAGGTCAGTTAGGATCACCAATTTATTTTAAGAATGTGAAATGTCAGAATAATAGTAGAGAGAAAGATTTATTTCAGCTTTTATTTATTTCATCACATTCCCAGTGGGTCAGAAGTTTACATACACTCAATTAGTATTTGGTAGCATTGCCTTTAAATTGTTTAACTTGGGTCAAACGTTTCAGGTTGCCTTCCACAAGCTTCTCAAAATAAGTTGGGTCATTATGGCCAAACACTTCTATTTTTGTTTCATCAGACCAGAGGAAATTTCTCCAAAAAGTACAATCTTTGTCCCCATGTGCAGTTGCAAACCGTAGTCTGGCTTTTTTATGGCGGTTTTGGAGCGGTGGCTTCTTCCTTGCTGAGCCGCCTTTCAGGTTATGTCGATATAGGACTTGTGTTAATGTGGATATAGATACTTTTGTACCCGTTTCCTCCAGCATCTTCACAAGGTCCTTTAGTATTGTTCTGGGATTGATTTGCACTTATCGCACCAATGTACGTTCATCTCTAGGAGACAGAACGTGTCTCCTTCCTGAGCGGTATGAAGGCTGCATGATCCCATGTTGTTTATACTTGCGTACTATTGTTTGTACAGATGAACGTGGTAACTTCAGGCATTTGGAAATTGCTCCCAAGGATGAACCAGACTTGTGGAGGTCTACAAAAACAATTCTGAGGTCTTGGCTGATTTCTTTTGATTTTCCCATGATGTCAAGCAAAGAGGCACTGAGTTTGAAGGTAGGCCTTGAAATACATCCACAGGTACACCTCCAATTGACTCAAATGACGTCAATTAACCTATCAGAAGCTTCTAAAGCCATAACATCATTTTTTGGAATTTTCCAAGCTGTTTAAAGGCACAGTCAACTTAGTGTATGTAAACTTCTGACCCATTTGAATTGTGATACATGCATATACATATATACACTGCTCAAAAAAATTAAGGGAACACTAAAATAACACATCATAGATCTGAATGAATGAAATAATCTTATTAAATACTTTTTTCTTTACATAGTTGAATGTGCTGACAACAAAATCACACAAAAATTATCAATGGAAATCAAATTTATCAACCCATGGAGGTCTGGATTTGGAGTCACCCTCAAAATTAAAGTGGAAAACCACACTACAGGCTGATCCAACTTTGATGTAATGTCCTTAAAACAAGTCAAAATGAGGCTCAGTAGTGTGTGTGGCCTCCACGTGCCTGTATGACCTCCCTACAACGCCTGGGCATGCTCCTGATGAGGTGGCGGATGGTCTCCTGAGGGATCTCCTCCCAGACCTGGACTAAAGCATCCGCCAACTCCTGGACAGTCTGTGGTGCAACGTGGCGTTGGTGGATGGAGCGAGACATGATGTCCCAGATGTGCTCAATTGGATTCAGGTCTGGGGAACGGGCGGGCCAGTCCATAGCATCAATGCCTTCCTCTTGCAGGAACTGCTGACACACTCCAGCCACATGAGGTCTAGCATTGTCTTGCATTAGGAGGAACCCAGGGCCAACCGCACCAGCATATGGTCTCACAAGGGGTCTGAGGATCTCATCTCGGTACATAATGGCAGTCAGGCTACCTCTGGCGAGCACATGGAGGGCTGTGCAGCCCCCCAAAGAAATGCCACCCCACACCATGACTGACCCACCGCCAAACCGGTCATGCTGGAGGATGTTGCAGGCAGCAGAACGTTCTCCACGGCGTCTCTAGACTCTGTCACGTCTGTCACATGTGCTCAGTGTGAACCTGCTTTCATCTGTGAAGAGCACAGGGCGCAGTGGCAAATTTGCTAATCTTGGTGTTCTCTGGCAAATGCCAAACGTCCTGCACGGTGTTGGGCTGTAAGCACAACCCCCACCTGTGGACGTCGGGCCCTCATACCACCCTCATGGAGTCTGTTTCTGACCGTTTGAGCAGACACATGCACATTTGTGGCCTGCTGAAGGTCATTTTGCAGGGCTCTGGCAGTGCTCCTCCTGCTCCTCCTTGCACAAAGGCGGAGGTAGCAGTCCTGCTGCTGGGTTGTTGCCCTCCTACGGCCTCCTCCACGTCTCCTGATGCACTGGCCTGTCTCCTGGTAGCGCTTCCATGCTCTGGACACTACGCTGACAGACACAGCAAACCTTCTTGCCACAGCTCGCATTGATGTGCCATCCTGGATGAGCTGCACTACCTGAGCCACTTGTGTGGGTTGTAGACTCCGTCTCATGCTACCACTAGAGTGAAAGCACCGCCAGCATTCAAAAGTGACCAAAACATCAGCCAGGAAGCATAGGAACTGAGAAGTGGTCTGTGGTCACCACCTGCAAAACCAGTCCTTTATTGGAGGTGTCTTGCTACTTGCCTATAATTTCCACCTGTTGTCTATTCCATTTGCACAACAGCATGTGAAATGTATTGTCAATCAGTGTTGCTTCCTAAGTGGACAGTTTGATTTCGCAGAAGTGTGATTGACTTGGAGTTACATTGTGTTGTTTAAGTGTTCCCTTTATTTGTTTGAGCAGTGTTTTTTGCAAAATATTCATCCCCCTTGGCGTTTTTCCTATTTTGTTGCATTACAACCTGTAATTGAAATTGATTTTTATTTGGATTTCATGTAATGGACATACACAAAATAGTTCAAATTGGTGAAGTGAAATGAAAAAAAATTATAACGGAAAAGTGGTGCGTGCATTTGTATTCACCCCATTTGCTATGAAGCCCCTAAATAAGATCTGGTACAACCAATTACCTTCAGAAGTCACATAATTAGTTAAATAAAGTCCACCTGTGTGCAATCTAAGTGTCACATGATCTCAATATATATACACACCTGTTCTGAAAGGCCCCAGAGTCTGCAACACCACTAAGCAAGAGGCACCATGAAGACCAACGAGCTCGCCAAACAGGTCAGGGACAAAGTTGTGGAGAAGTACAATTATCATTCCTTGCCATGTGTAGTTTAAACTACAATGCAACTAAAAACATGCTCTAAATCACTACAGGTTCCCTCGACATCAATTCTTACTGACCTCCAGGCATTGACATGAAAATTATCTGATTACGTCAGACTCATTCTGAACAGGTTGCAGCCTACCAGGATACCTGGTTTTCTTACCCTTGGCATGCGCGCTTGTGTAAGCATAAGCGCACATGTACAACGGAACATTCAATGAGGATTTATGCTAGGATCACCTAAGGGTTCGAGCAAAACACCAGCCTTGGTAAAGTTAAATTTACCCTGAGGCCTTTGATTCTACAGCTACCGTTCTCACCAGTTTCTCCCCAGAAATCCATAGGTCATCCCTGTAGACTGTCTGAAGCTAGTGCCTTACAAACTGTACACGTATCATAGTTATCAACTTAGGATAGTGCCTAAGAAACACACCACTAAGTGGGAAAACCCTAGACATGACCATTAGAGACAATGTCATGATAGATTCATTTAGTCAAGACTGTGGACGTATATAGAATACAGTCCAATTAGATGATTAAGGTGTGGTAACTATATTTTGTATCTCTTTTGTTTATGCTTTTATTCATTTTGTTTCATTTTCTCTGACGCGAAGTGATAGAGCCATAAACAAGTTCCCCATACAACAATAATTTAGTGCCACAACACCGCTCATTTGGGAAAGAAATTTAATTATGTATTTCATGAGTGTGTGCGTTGTTAACATCTGCGTAAGTTACTGCCCAGATCTACCAGCCTGGACGACGGGTCCGGAACGGCGATGCCCAACCAGTACACTCGCTGGCCATTCTTGTGGTGGACTGCTCCGTTGGAAGAAAGCTTAACAGAGTAAACCACCAGAGGGGGACCGCAACGGCGATCCCCAACCAGGACATCCCCCGGTCATTTTTATGGTGGCTT